CCATAATTTGGCTATTGTTGAGAGTGCTGCTATAAACATTGGGTGTTTTATATTATTCTTATATTTATATATGCTTTGTACCGTCTTGAATATAGGAAGTGTTCCTAATAAAAAATTTTGGAACTCCCAACTCTACAAATGAAAAGAAAAAACTGTTATAAAGATAAAATATCAGAGGGCACCTGGGTAGCTCAGTTGGTTGAGCATCCGACTTCAGCTCAGGTCATGATCTTGCAGTTGGTGAGTTCAAGCTCCACGTCAGGCTCTGTGCTGACAGCTCAGAGCCTGGAGCCTGCTTCAGATTCTGTGTCTCCCTCTCTTTCTGGTGTGTCCCCCACCCCCGCCACTCATGCTCTGTCTTTCTCAAAAATAAACATTAAAAAAAAAAGATAAAATATCGGGGGGCATGTGGGTGGCTCAAACATCCAACTTCAGCTCAGGTCATGATCTCACAGTTCGTGAGTTTGAGCCCAACGTCAGGCTCTCTTCTCTGCTGTCAGCACAGAGCCCGCTTCAGACCCTCTGCCCCCCACCTCTGTCCCTCCCCTCCTCTCAAAAATAAACATTAAAAAAAAAAAAAACAGACTTCCAAAATTATTTAAAAAAAGAAACTACTTGGGTACCTGGGTGGCTCAGTCACTTAAGCACTGGACTCTTGATTTCCATTCAGGTCATGATCTCACAGCTCTTAAGAAGACTGAGCCCCGAGCTGAACTCTGTGCTGACAGCAGGGAGCCTACTTGGGATTCTCTCTCCCTCTCTCTCCACACCTCCCCCACTCACGCTCTCTCATGCTCTCTCTCAGAATAAACTTAAAAAACATTTTTTTAAGTTTTTTTAAAAAAAAGATAAAGTATCAATGACAGCACTTGACCTCATCAGAGGTCCACGAACTCCACCATTACTTTCACAGTGAACTAATAATATGTTCTCAATGTGCCAAAGGTTTTTTTCTTTCTGAATTAGTAACAGTTGAGATCTAACTTACTTCCTTTAACCCAATTAAGAAACAGGATGTTTCAACATTAATAAAAGGGGGGAGGGATAACACAGTACATATAATGGAAAGGGAATGGGATTTGGATCAAAAGACGGTTTAGAATATGTTAATATTCTAAATACATGACAGACCCTTAATATTTAGAATTTTTTGTCACCTTGGGTATTGCTGCACTTTTGAGTCCGCCCTAAAACTGAGATCATACCTAGTTCGCAGGATTAAATGAGTAAAGCAATATACAAATGCTAATTTTGAAAAACAGGTATTTTATCTTGTTTTTCACTCGGTGTTTTAGTGGATACAGTCCATAGTCCTTACACCAAAGTTAGGAAAGTTCATTCACTAATTGATAAAATAAGCTAAAGC